CCTTTAAAGACATTTTGAACATTCACAGTGAAATCTTGAGGAAGAAAAGGCCTGTTCTCCATAGTGCTGACAATAAAGCTGTTTGTTTCTATTCAGATACTTTTTTTTTTTTTTTTTTTTGGTGGTGCTGGGGATTGAACCCAGGGCCTTGTGCATAGCTCTACCAGCTGAGCTATATCCCCAGTACTCTGTTCAAAGACAATTTTTGTGGGTTTTTTATTTACTGAAAATGTTCTGTAATCAACAGGTACAAAGGTAACTGAAGCCACATTATGTTAAAACTCTTAGTACCCATTTTTTAATTCTTGTTAAGGCAAAAATTTACCTGTTGTCGAGAGAGAATTGCTTCTGTGTTTTGTATTGGCGATGTTTTTTTAAAAGTATTTTTGTACTCAAGAGGCTGAGGCAGGAGGTTAGTTCAAAGTTCATAAGACCCTGTCTCAAAATGTAGGAGATGGAGTAGGAGCTTGCTCTGTCATGCCACACATCAATCTGGTATTACAGTACCTCCAGGAATAGTACACCCCCTGTGGGGGAATAAAACTCAGTTAAAGGAAAGAAATAAAAGTGAATTTTGGGGTGTGTGTGTGTGTGTGTGTGTGTATGTGTGTATTATATAATATGTATACACACACACACATACATAGTTGTAACTCAGTGGTGGAATGCTTGTCTAGCATGTGTAAGGCCCTAGGTTTGATTCTCAAAAGAGGGGGGATGTATTTTGGAAAAGAAAATCGCCTTAATGGGTTTTCTCTTGCTGCTAGAAAAAGGTACTGCCACATTGTGTTTTTGCCTGTAGACAGGTGTGATTCTATTTAAGTGTCTGCGTTAAGATTGTCAGTGAAAATCTAGATAGTTTGCTTGGCTGTTGTAACAACAGTAGATGGTCTGTACATAGACCCTCTCTGTATGTTTGCAACTGACAGTATCTGTGTATCGACCTATTCAGAGAATAGCCCTCTGTTTGGGATGATCAGAACTCATTTTAGATTCAGATGTCTTGCAGATGAAATGTGATTGTTTATTGTTGCAGTTGATGTTGTTAAAGATTCCAGCCATAATAAGAAAAGTAGGAGGAGGGAATCAAATATTATTTCTTTACTTCTAGAAAAAGCTATGTTCTAAGTGTATTTATTGAACAAGAGGAACATTTTTAGCATATATTTTGAATTCTCTTATTGGTATTTTAAAGATTTGTGATGACTTTAGAGTGAATGAGAGAAAGATGAGCTAGACTTCAAGGAAGAAAATAATTTTGTCTCAGAGGAATGCTTCGTTTTATGGTTTTTAATTAAATTTGTATAAATAAAAACTAAATATGGGAGCTGGGGTTGTGGCTCAGTGGTTGAGCGCTTGCCTCGCATATGTGAGGCACTGGGTTTGATTCTCAGCACCACATATAAATAAAGGAATAAAATAAGGTCCATCAACAACTAAAAAAAAATAAGCTAAATATGTATTCAATCTATATATCTATACCGGACATTTTTTAATACTAGAGTAATATTTTGCTTGAGGGAGAATGGGCTGATGTTTTGGGTAATAAAATCTTTAAAATGTTGATAACTGCTGGGCATGGTGACACATGCCTGTAATTCTGGTGACTCAGGAAGCTGAGATAGGAGGATCACAATTTCAAGAACAGCCTGGGCAACTTATTGAGACCTTGTTTCAAAATAAAATACAAAGCACAGGAAATGTAGCTCAATGGTAAAGTAGTAGCAAAGTGCCTTGGAATCAATTTCCAGTGCAGCCCAAAAAAAAAAAAGTTGATAGCTAATTTCTGACTAGCAATGTTGTACAACTATAGTTTCCTTAAATTAAAAAAAAAAAAAGGTAAACCAATAGTAACTTTGATTTTACATTTTTCCTCAAGTGACAGTAAAACTAATTTTACCACTAGAACTTGCTTCAAAAGTATTTCTGAACTATATATATGACTAAAAACACACAAAAAGTGACTTATCCAAATAATGTATTTCAGAGAGTAATAGATGTTCAAATTGTTACCTATTATTACATTTTTAGAAGGATTTATATGTTCAAAAATTTTACATGAGTAAAATTTAATATTGATAATCTAGCACTGTTGACTAGGTGAGAACTTGACATTCTTTGCCTCCTAACTTGGAATAATACAAAATACACAGCAGTAGCAACATGTATGAATTGTTCTGATCAAAATACATTTTTCCCAGATGTTATCAAGACTTTGAACTTAACTTCCTCTTCATAGGAAATATAGAAGGTAAAGCAATGAGTTTAATTCCAGTATGAGAAAACAATCAAACAAATCTGGAATGTGAGATATTCTCTAAGATAGTTTGCCTGGTATTTTCAAAAACAACTTTGTAAAAAAGGATAAAAGTGGGTGGATCAAAAGAGACATAAGAGCTAAATACTGATTTGTTCCTGGATTTGATGCTGGAGAGCAGGGGGAGGCAGGGGGACAGCTATGAAAAATATGTGAGCAGTCAAGGAAATTTCAGTGTGGAATAGGTACACTCATTTGTACTAGGGAGTTATTTTACCTGTTTCTTCAGTATGGTAACAGTATTATGGTTCAACATGAGAAAGTATTTCTAGAATATGATAAGTAGTAAGAGGTGTAGTGCCTTTATGTTCATGACTTTAAAAAGTATACACCTGGGATGGGAATATAGCTCAGTTGTAGAGTGCTTGCCTCACACGCACAAGGCCCTGGATTCAATCCCCAGCACCACAAATAAATAAATAAATAAATACACACACACACACACACACACACACACACAAAGCAAATATGTAAAATGTTCATGATTGTCTCTAGGTAGTGTGTATGTGGCTAATGTTAATATTATTATTTAAAATTTTCTGCAAATTTGACATTTTTTATAATAGAATGGAATGTTCTTAAAACTTAATTGAGAGAAATAGTATTTATTGAGTGGCCTTATGATATACAGTGCATTCTACAGGTCATACAACCAACCATCAGGGATCTGTACGTATACTTCATTCCTAAGTAACATTGTTTTACCAGGCTGTGTCTGAGTACCATAACACAAGTTCCATTGAGAACCAGGACGGAAAACAGTTGTGTTAAATATTTTGGAGAACTTTGCTTATTATATCACATGATATCCTTTTGGGGAACATGAAACTTTGGATTTTAGTAACAGGAATAGTTAAGCTGCTTCTGAGAAACTAGATTTTTGGCTTGTTACCGACATTGAGTTCTGTTTTTCTGGCTGCTAGAAAGGTCAGACCTCACTTGTAGCCATCTCCAGCTGGTGGTCTTCCTAACTGTGCCCCTGAGTGCTTTCAGCTTTTCTCTGTTTCCTTTAGTTTTTCCTCACTTTGATTCTCTTATCTTTTTTTTATTATTATATTTTTAGTTGTAGATGGACACAACTAAAAATTTACTTATAATTATTTATTTTTATGTGGTACTGAGGATCGAACCCAGTCATAAGTGTGAGACAAGCACTCCACCACTGAGCTACAACCCCAGCCACTTTTATCTGTTTTTTTTCTAGCCATATTCAAAGGATTTAAAATAATGTAGTTTATTATTTGAAAGTCACAAACTAAAAGACAGATTTTCACATTATTTTCATTAGTCCTATAAGTTCCTACTTCCAAATGCAGTACTCCATTGTCCGTTAGTCAATTTTAGAATAAGAGAATGTTTCTAGAAAATTATATACTTTTAAATATAATTTAAGATATAAACATTTTTATTTTCTGGAATAACATTGCCATTGCTATATTTAAGTAAAATTCCTTATTTTATGGGGAGGAGTAATTCAGGACAAAGAACAACGCCAGTCCATGATAATAAATATTTAGCAGCAGTTGGAATTAGCATTTTCCTTTGAGAATTTCGTTTTTCTTTTTTTCAATCAAGGGAAGTAAAATATGCCATTTGCAGTCACTTTACCTTTAACATTTCTGAAAGAATTGTGATCTACAATGACATTAGTTGCTTTTGAATGGTATTCAAATTCCTTCCCTCCTATAATAGTATCTTTCTTCTGTTAAAAGAGACTTTACATTTTACAAAATACTTTTCAGCATCAGCGTGTTGATGCACATATTTAAAATTTGCTCTTGCTACTTTTCAGGAAGTCAAAGTCCTCACCTCATTTCTGTGTAGGATTGCTGTGTTATATTATTGTGCTCTAACAGAATACTTATGACAGGGATAATACCACTTACTCTAAAATATGTAAGCTAATGATGGCCAAGACAATTTTTAGATATTATGTATATGTTAGGTAAGTATTTAAGTTTAAATTTTTAAAAAGTGTTCATTCAGTGAAATTTTCCAGTGAAGTTTTTTGTGATTTTGTTTTGTTTTTTTTTTTTTTTTTTTCTTTAGTGATGGGGACTTGAACTCAGGGCCACTTTACCACTGAGCTACCAGCCCTTTTTATTTTTTATTTTGAAACAGGGTCTCCTGAGATAGGAGGATCAACTTCTAGGCTGGCCTAGAAGTTGATCCTCCTATCTCAGCATCCTGAGTTGCTGGAATTACAGGCATAAGCCACCATGTCTAGCTTTTAAAGGCTTTTGTATTTGCAAAACTGTGTTCATTTTATATTTGGGCATACTTAAGTCTGACCTTAATAACCTGTGATCTTCCATCTTGAGTGGTATACTCAAATTAATTGCCAAAAGAGGGTTGGTGTCGCTGTGTCCTGCACAAGGGATCAGTTAGTTAACTGCACAGAGGTATGAGCCAGCTGAGAAATTAAAAGTCTGAAATAATTAGTAAGAAATAAAAGACTCAGAAAAGTAGTTTCACAGCGGGGTCCTGGTGGGAAGATTGGACCTGATGACTCCTGTCTCTAACAAAGAGTGAGGGTCTGCATGCTTTATTTATAGGGGAACACATCAAAGGGATTTATTATGAGGAAGGGTTCTTAAAGGTAAACGAGAGAGAAGCAGGAGGTTATGGGGAAGTTGGCCTGAATGGAGCCTTATCACCTTCGCAGTAATTCCTCCTCCTCCAGGCAGCTGGCACCTCAAGACTATATGGATGCACAGATATCTCTTTCCACCTCCTTGAACCTGGAGCTGTCTGAACCAATAAATTCTGCAGTATCACAGAATTCTCTATGAGCAGGATGTTGCCAAGGCAACGGAGTGGTCTCAGATTGGTGAGATGGCACAGAGAGTTCTTTGAGGGGCACACCTCCGCTTAGAGATGGCTCAGACAAGCTCACAATTCATCTGTGGCTCCCAACAGGTTAGTTGTTCACTTAAGTGTGAGTGAAGTAAGACTGCCATCTCTTTTGCCCCAGATGGAACAATTCCTAGAATCAGGATTTAGCTTTCTTTGCTCACCTCTGGAATTCACTTCTGGTTTGCCAAAATAAGGTAAAATAAGGTGTATATCTTTCTTTCTGCATTTTACTTTCAAGTGAAAATTCATTGTCATCCTTACCCCATTCATTTGTTTTTTCTTTCTTTCTATGTGTGTGGTACTGGGTATGGAAGCCTCGGCCTCACACTTCCTAGGAAAGTTCTCTACCACTGAGATACATCCCCAGCCCACCCTCATTCATTTCTTGACACATAAACATCAACTTTAATTTTGCCTTAGGGCCAGTTGGTCATGTGAATGCTGTACAACATCTCCGTTTATACTGCTTCACACATCACTCTCAGGACAAGTTCCCACAAAGACCTCTTTTGTTCTACTGTCAATCCACCCTGAAGAAACCAGTTTCCAAACTATGCACAGCTTTGTAAATCAAGATGAACTGGTCAGAAATTGGATACAGAAGCAAACAAGAAGCCAAATAATACTTCCTGGTTAACATGGCAGTTAACAAGCTGATCGTGCTATGTGTAGTAAAATTGCAGGTCATAAAATGTTTTGAATTCTAAGAAAATGCCAGTTAGAAAGTTTATATCATATTCTTATTGTAATTATAGTTCAAGGTCATTAACTTGTTCCTATTATTATTGGAGTTAAGAAAATACAAGTAATGTTTTTAGTAAGATATTCTAGGTAACAGAAGGCAGTGAGAACAAGAACAAATGATGAAATGCGAACTTTAGTTCTGCATATTTCTTTTTTTTTTTTTTGGTGGTGCTAGGGATTAAACCCAGGGCCCTGTGCATGTAAGGCAAGCACTCTACCAACTGAACTATATCCCTAGCCCCCTAGTTCTGCATATTTCTTAATTAGCTTTGTACATGATCACTGAGGACCAAAATTGGGAGGAAGAGGAGTTTGGCCTGTGGGCATAGCTGTCCTTTCTGACACCAATGTACCACAGTATGAAACCAATATAGTGAGATACAGAGCTGACGTTCCTGGGAACTCTACGTAAGTCAGGAGGAAAGCGATATACCCATACATAATGATAGTAACAATATGTTTTTCACCAGAGTTAAGCATAATGTATTCACAGCTTAATTTATGGATTTTGAAAATATCCTTGAAATATTTTCTCTTTTAATAAATGTTTTGTCCAATTATTTTTGCCATCTGGTTCAGAGCTTTCAAGAATATCAAGCACTTCTCAAAAGTTTTGTTTTCCTTCAGATGATCTAGTCTAAACACTGTGCTTTTAACTCTATCCTTCCAAATATCCTTCCAAAGAATTGGCATCTTTGTGATATGTTTCTCTCCCCTTGAAAAATTTAAAAAAGAACAAAGGGAGTAAAAAAGAAAAGATTTAAAATGCCTTCTATTCATAAGTTCAGTAATAGGCAAAGACAATGTTCCTCAACCAAAGAGATCAGAAAATTCTCAAGAGTACTTTGAAAATATATAGTTTAGATTCTGAATCTGTTACAGAGATGGTATGATACATTTAAAATTTTACTATATATCACATTTCTTCCCCACCATATTTTGAGATGGAAATCATAATTAAAAATGTTTTCTTTCCTCATAAAGCCCCTTTCTCACCAAGCTATTTACACATACAATTTTTTTTTTTTTTTTTTCCTATTTTGGTAAAGCCAGGAGAAACTTTTTTTGGTTTTTTGTTTTGGGGTTTTTTTTTTTTTTTTTTTTTTTGGTACTAGGGACTGATCTCAGAGGCACTTAACCACTGAGTCACATCCCTAGCCCATTTTTTGGTTTACTGGGGATTGAACTCAGGTACTCAACCACTGAGCCACATCCCTAGCCCTGTTCTATATTTTATTTAGAGATAGGCTTTCACTGAGTTGCTTAGCACCTCGATTATCCTGAGGCTCGATTTGAACTCAAGATCCTCCTGCTTCAATCTCCTAAACCACTGGGATTACAGGTGTGCACCACCATAACCAGCCTCAAGAAGAACTTTTTGAAAATATTTTTTCCTTATGTAAGAATGAAAAAGGGCTGAGTAATGAAATGCTGCCTTGTTTCCAGCCTTCTTTCCCCCCCTTTTTTTTTCATATTCCCAGGCTGGAGGTGCAGCTAGGTAACACTTGCCTAACATGTCCCAGGTCCTGGGTTGGAACCCTAGAGACTGAAAAAAAAAAAGATAATTCAGAATGGATTCCTCAGTTTAATTCCAACTTACTGATTATATTTGAATTGTTGAAATAATATGAGCTATGTTTTCTTTTTTAATTATTGCATTTTTGAGGTATAATTAACATATACTAAAATACACATGTCTTAACTATACAGTATGAATTTTGACCCATCAGGATATGATGTACATCTGGTCAACAGGAAAGCTTTCTCAAAATACTCGTCAGAAAATTGAAAAGTTTTCTAGATGATTCTGAGCTAAACCCAGTTAAGAACAATTACCTTTTAAAGAATCAGAGGATAATATACATAAAATATGTAATGTGTCATAGAATGTTATACAGATTAAAATTAGGTTATTGTTTTTTTAAAAAATATAAACTTATCAGGCTAGGGTTGTGTCTCAGTGGCAGAGTGCTTGCCTAGCATGCATGAGGCCCTGGGTTCGATCCCCAGCACCACATTTAAATAAATAAATAAACAAAATAAAGGTATTGTGTTCATCTACAACTAAAAATATTTTTAAAAAGTAAACTTCTCAGACTGGGGGTGTACCTCAGTGGTGGAACACTTGACTCACATGTATGAGACACTGGGTTTAATTCTCAGTACCACATAAAAATAAATAAATAAAGATATTGTGTCCCTCTACAACTAAAAAAATATATTTAAAAAAAAGTAAATTTCTCTCATGCCTTTTTAAGGGGTTTGCTATACTCACTCATGTATGAAATTTTTAATTTGTTTTTCTGTTTGTTTTTAAGAAAATTAACCAAAAACTTCACGATGGAGTATGTCAGCGCTGTAAAGAAGTTCTTGAATGGCGTGTAAAATACAACAAATACAAACCATTATCAAAACCTAAAAAATGGTGAGTTAAATTTCTTCATTACCTTAACCAGTGGCATGTATATCATACATTGTTATTTCTAAAATTGTATCCAAATAAATATCAAAGTCAATTTTTTTTTAAAATTCCATTTGGGCTGGGGATATAGCTCAGTTGATAGAGTGCTTACCTCACATGCACAAGGCCCTGGGTTCAATCCCAAGCACCACATACACACATAAAAATTCCATTCTCTCTTTTAGCATTTTGTCTTGCATGCATAGTGAATCTTGGTTTTTAGAGATGAGAAAAAGTAGATTCATCATTCCCTGTCCAGTCTTTCACAAATAATAATGCACCACTCATAGAACCTTGTTCATAAAAAGTGAGTTTTGGCTGAGAAGAAGTTTGTGTTACAAAATGTCTCCTACTAATGAAATAACACTATTTACTATAGATTATCTTTACCAATTCTTAAAAGGAATCCGATCTTTTAATTCAATCCATAAAATTTTTTGTAATTACTTTCAATGTAAAAATTAGCATATTCTTTTTACATTATGAATTTAATTTGGTAATCTATATAGTTGCTATTAAGAACATTTGCTCAAGCAGGACATGGTGGCACATGCCTGTAATTCCAGCGGCTCTGGAGGTTGAGGCAGGAGGATCACTATTTCAAAGCCAGCCTCTGCAATGGTAAGGTGCTAAGCAACTTAGTGAGACCCTGTCTGTAAATAACATAGAGAATAGGGCTGGGAATGTGGCTCAGTTGTTGAGTGCCCCTGAATTCAATCCCCAGTACCCCAAAAAATAATCTTTATTCATTATTTCTTTATTTAACTGTTCAATAGCTTCATCTTCCTTGAAAAGGTGTTCTTCTTTATATTTTTGTTTGTTTATTTTTTTTTATACTTGGAATTGAACTCAGCAGTGCTTTACCACTGAGCCTTTTTTAACTTTGTGACAGTGTCTTGCTAAATTGCTGAGGCTGGCCTTGAACTTAATCCTCCTACCTCAGCCTCCCAAATTGCTGAGATTATAGTGTGTGCCACTGCAGTAGGTGGTATTCTCACTTTATGAGAGAAAATTTTACTTAAACTTTGGAAGGTCTGTCTAAATATATGTAATATAGCTGTTGGTGTTTATTTTTGTCGAAAAATGTCAGCGTATCTGTGAATCTAAAACTGAAGCTATGGAATAATTTGTTTACTTGGGAATATTTGATAGCTTTGAGTGTCTTAATTTGAGTGATTTATTTTGCCTGAGATATGCTGCATTTTCTTAACTTTTTATTCTATAAAATTTATTAAAATTAAGAATTATACTTTCTATGAAACAGATACTAAAACATCTGAAATGCTTTCAATTTTTCAAATACACTGAAACATCATACAACACAAAAAAATGCAAATTTTATCGTGAAGTTTTTTTGATACTTGTCAGAAGGTGACTGATTGCAATGCCTAAGATAGTCATACTATTAATTTACCTCCAAGTTTGTTTAGCACATTGTAGATCTTTTTTGTCAGGCATGATATCCCAGCAGCTCCAGAAGCTAAGGCAGGAGAATCCTAAGATTGAGACCAGCTTCAGCAACTTAGCGAGGTCCTAAGCAACTTAATGACACCGTGTCTCAAAATAAAAAATATAAAAGGGCTGTGGAATGGGGCTCAGTGATAAATCACCTCTGGGTTCAATCCCTAGTACCAAAAAGAAAAAAAGGAAAGAAAGAAAGAGATCTTATCTCTTAAAAGACAATGAAACGTGCACAGGATGCTTCTTTTTAGTATGGAAAGTTACAAACTTTTTAGAAAATTTTTTTTCCAGTACTAATCTTTCAGACCAGAATTTTTAGATTTATTTTGGGTATAGTTGACTCCCCCTTTAAAAGGTTTATAAATTTCTCACTTCTGTCTTTCAGTGTTTTCTTCTTGTTTTTCAGCATTCCCTTCCAGAACAAAACACCTTTAAACAAGTCTGATGAGTCTTATTCTCACTGGCCCAAATTAGCAGTAGGGAAATTTAATAATAGGGAAATTGTATGCAATATCTAATTTAGAGTTTTACAAATGAATTAAGTATATTCTCTGGATAGCAATTAGATACTAGTTGTGTACTTTCAGTTAATAGGCCTAATACAAGATTTGTAGGTTTCTGAGTATTTTCTACAAGGCATTTTCTATAAAGATCTTTTAAGATTTCATCAATCTCCATTTTCTCTTTCTAGCATTTTTTCCCTAAAAGAATTGGAAGTATAGGTAATAAATATTTGCATATTCATAGGATTTTAATAGACTAGTGTTGTGTAAGAAAGAAAATCTTTTAAGAACATTTCTGTCTCAGCAATTGTTTATGTTCTAATTTTGCCCATCTTTAATATATGCTAGCTGGTGACACATGCCAATAATCCAGTAGCTCAGGAGGCTGAGATAGGAGAATTGAGAGTTCAAAGCCAACCTCAGCAACTCAGTGAGATCCTATCTCTAAATAAAATACAAAATAGGGCTGGGGATGTGGCTCGTTGATGAGTGCCCCTGAGTTCAATCCCTGGTACCTAAAAAAAAAAAAAATATATATATATATATTATCCTAGGTGTTTATCTTCATTATGAATGTGCTAGTATGTGAAAGATTATATCAGTTATTAGTCTTCCACAGGCTATAGAATTTCCAGACATACTTATATGGCTCTTAGATTTTTCCCTTCTTTTCTGTGTTACTTATAATCTTAATATTTTCATGGCCAGTGCCAGGTGCAGTGGTGCACACCTATAATCCCAGGGACTAGGGAGGCTGAGGCAGGAGGATCGTGAGTTCAAAGCCAGCCTCAGCAACTTAACAAGGCATTTAGCAACTCAGTGAGACCTGTCTCTAAATAAAATTTTAAAAGGGCTGGCGATGTTGTTCAACAATTAAGTGCCCCTGGGTTCAATCCAGGTACCCCCCTCCAAAAAATTTTTTTTTCATGGCCAGAAAAACTTGCATACTTTAAATCCTAGAAAAACAAATATTTATTTGGACAAACACAAAGATTCAGTTAAAAACAAAAAGAAAAGGAAAGCAGTGTAAGTGGCAAATTTTTGTAAGTCACACATCACTTAATGATGGGGATAGCTTACCATTATAGTCCATCCTGTATGTGGTTCATCATTGACAAAAATATCATTATATAATGCATAACTGTAATTAGTTTTCCAGAAAATTTAGAATATACCAATCTTTGAAAATGGTTGGATGTGAACACATTAACTCAAACACATACAACTTTGTTCTGACTCAAAGCTGTTGAAGTCCTTGGAGTTAGGGGAGTTTGTGGTGGTATTGTCACTAGCTGTGTCACTAGCTGTGATTCAGAGGTCTTCAAGAGACCATTGTGTCAAGGAGGTGAGGGCTAAGAAGGACCTCAAGAGCTACTATTCTGCATTATATTGAGGTAGATGTGGTTAGCCGTACTTCAGCTCACAACAAAGCAAGATGAGGGAAATATTGTACAAATGCCAAAATATAGATAACAAGATTTTAAAGCCTACAGGAAGATCTCTAAGAGTAAAGAAGCCCAAGCTAATGGAAAACAGGTCATAGCTTATGAGACTGAGACATTACTAGTCAAAACAGGATCTTGTAAAGGAAGAAAAAGTTATTTTTCCATCTACCCTTCTAGGTTCTTAGTTGAGGCCCTTCTTTTAACAAAAACAATAGCAAGAGAAAAGGACACCTTTATTTAATATGAGTTTTATGTGACATTTACACATGTTTTTGTTTAGTTTTTTAGGCAGTGCTGTGGGGATAGAATTTAGGGCCTTCTACAGGCTAGGCAAGTACTCTACCCCTGAGCTACACCCCACCCAAATTTTATGTGCCATGGGAACCTTCATAAAGATTTGAAGAAATGATTAAACCCAAGTGCTTTCATATTAGGTTTGATAAGGAATGGAAAGCCATGGGAAAATGTGATAGGACAAAGTAGGAAACTTAGCTAGACCTTTGTCCGCCTTTGGAGATAATGATGATCTTTTCCTCCAGGTATCATGAGGGCATGTCTTGAATGAGTGTCTTATAAGGAGAAGGTCAGAGAGATTTTCCTACACCTGCTGTTTCTCAGATTACTTCATCTTTCAATTTGCCAAGATACCTTATTTTAGACTAACATGTTTTGAACCTTGTCAATCTGAACATGTTACCTTCCTATACTAGGACATCGTTAATTTCTTTTCTTTTTTTTTTTTTTTTTTTTTTTTTTGTGGTGCTGGGGATTGAACCCAGGGCCTTGTGCATGTGAGACAAGCACTCTACTAACTGAGATATATCCCGAGCCCCAGGACATAATAAATTTCTGATAATCCTGGACACATGGTACGTGAGGCATATAGGAAAGCCTAGCTTTCAAATTTCAGTCCCATGACTGAAAGGGTTATAGAGTGTATAACTCATCAATATCCACCTTGCTTTTTCTGTGTATTAAGACATGCCCAGGGGGATGGGGATATAGCTCAGATGGTATTGAATGCACAAGGCCCTGGGTTCAATCCCCAGCACCACCAAAAAAAAAAAAAAAAGACATGCCCAACATTATAAGGAATTTAAATCTATTGATGATGTTGCTAACATAACTTGTTTTGAAATTTTAAATATTTTCTTCGAGTTAGTACTCACCTATAATTTAAATTTGTCCTCTGTTAGGGTTTCTATAAGATGTTTACAGATGCCTCTCAACTGATAATGGTGTTACATCCTGACAAACCTGTCATATAAGTTGAAAATATCTTAAGTTAAAAATGTGTTTAGAGGGCTGGAGATATAGCTCAATTGGTAGAGTGCTTGCCTCATATGCACAAGGTCCTGGGTTTAACCCACAGAACCACCAAAAATATAAATTAATAAAAATGTCTTTAGGAGTGGTAGCATACTTGCCAGCAAGTGGATATCTCAGTTTGATCCCTAGAATTAAACATGCAAAAGAATATATGTTTAGTATATTTAACCTTCCAAACATTGTATCTTAGCTTTACCTTCCCTAAATATGCTCAGCATAATTAATC